GCTCAATTCATTAGGCATTGATTGCACACACCCTGTCCTGGGTGTTGGGTAGGACGCAAGGCTGAAGAGTGGTGATGAGGATGATGACTGGAGATCAGAGAACTACTGTTCATTTAGTGCTGGCCATGCAGCAGGCGTGGCCGAGCACTTTACAAACACGAGCCCTTAGTGTCCTGGGACCACCATGACATCTGAACCTGGGTTTAAATCCTAGCCCACTTCAGGTGAGTTATTTAACTTTTCTGGGTTTTATTTGTAAAATGAGGATAATAATGGTCTTGATCTATAACAGATGGTTCCAGTTGAGGAGACAGAACCACACAAAGTATATCTCAACAAGAGGAAGTTAATATAAAGAACTGGTTTCCCAGGTGCTGGAAGGCTGGATGAGAAGAAAAGGAGTGCTAAGGCAATCACAGGTGGTGACTGGAGGATGCAGGTTCCATCTCCAGGGCAGGAGGAACAAAGCGAAGTGGTTGGAACATCAGAAGCTGGACTTGTGGTGGAAAAGACCTGCTGCTAAGTCTGCGGGGGCCTGGGAAGCTGATTCTAGGCTGTGAAAGGGCGCTGGAGGCTGGGCCCAATGGCTGGTTCAGGGTAAATGGCTGTTGCTGGGTAAATGGCTGTTGCTAGGTAAATGGCTGTTGCTGGGTAAATGGCTGTTGCTAGGTAAATGGCTGTTGCTGGGTAAATGGCTGTTGCTGGGTAAATGGCTGTTGCTGGAAGGGATGCTGCAAGGAATCAACGGCAAGCAAAGAAAGGAAAAAATCTTCCCTCTCCAGGCCTCAGTCTCCTTCTAGTGTCCCCTGTTGGCAGAAATGAACAGGAACTCTGCTACCAAAGAACTGATGTGTAGGGCCCAAGCTCCAGCCATAAGCCAGAATAGAGAAAGGTCGACTGGGAGCTGGGCAAAATGGTATAATAGCTCATGAGGCTAAATGACTTAATGTTTATAAAGTGCTTAGAAGAGTGACTGGCATGTAGGTGATAAGTGCATTTAAAGTAAATAAATAAATCCAGCAAAAAACAACATGAGAAGTGATGTTAGGATCCCAGTTTTATCCAGGAGAATGATGAGGCTTAAAGAGGTCACATAAAATGCTCAAAGTCTCCCACTGGTGGAGTCCAGACTATCTTGATCTAAAGGTGTTCACCTCTATGAGCCTCTTTGCACAATAGGAGAGATTTTCAAAAGTACAATAAAAGTAAACAGGAGAGACAGAAATAGCAGAGTTTGGAGGCATCAGGAGGGAGGGTAAGCTGCTGGCTGGGACTCTGGGAAGACTCATTGGAGGAGATAGTGTTTGAGTGGAATTGTAAAGGACAGATAGGATTTCAACTGGCAGATGCTGGAAGGAGAGGAAACTGCTGAGCAAAGGCCCAGAGTTCAGGGCACATCAGCAGAATGATGAATACGAAGATTAGGAAAAAATGAATGATTCTTGTAATTCTCCTTTGCTGGAAAAAAAAAGTAGAGTTGGTGTTTACAAATATTACTAGCAGCAATAGGAATTTAAAGAGTTATTTGGGGGCAATCATAAACATTAAATGTTTTGTAGAATATTATGAATAAGTGTGTGAAGCAATGGATTAACTGAAAGATAATGAATTTTTAAAATCACCTCCTTTTAAAAATCCATGTGTAAAGTCATTAACATCTGCTTTCAGAAGATAAGAGTTCTTGTTTTAAGACAGTTGAGTTAAAAATCTAACTTGAAGCCACTTTGTGCCCTTTTAACAATGTACCAAATTTAGTTTCTATTAATTCCACTCTTTGGAAGGTTATGTACAAATTTGAACCATAATTATATTTAATTCAACAACCTGAGTTAATTCTCAGTAACAGACACTGTCCCAGGTACTGGAGATGCAAAGAATTATAAATGGTGGTTCCAGTCCTCAAGGAATTCATAGTCTAGCAGGGAAACAGGTAGATATTTAATCACAATAGAAAAGCAAACGTATTAACTATACCTGGAATATGGAACCTGTAGCTGGAGGGAAGGGAATAAGATTCCTTCTCTGCCTTCCCAAGAAGCATCGTTACAACGAGGCAGAAGTCAGTAAATGGGATACTAAGGGAGAGGGGCCAAGACAAACTATGGAGACCCAATAGTTCTATATAGTGCTGGACCAGATCACCAGATCACAAGCCAACTTCCTGGCTGGCTAAGGAAGTCAGAGTTGTATGGAGTTGGAAGAAGTTCTGGAATGTTTCCATAGTTCTGAACCTGGTCTCTGAAATCCTATATTCAGCTCTGAAAGTAAGGAAGTTGCCATGAAAGCAGCGATGGAAACCACATGTGCCAATAATAACAGCTAACAGTTTCTGAGCACCCACTGCAGGCTAATCACTTCAACAGAAAATGAGTATTATATTTAGACTTCTAGTTAGTGGTCCCTAGGAACCATTCTCGGCTTCTTCCTTTTAGTAATAGACTCCTCACTGAGTTTTAGTAGAACACATACATGTCTTTCCCCCTACAAACAATATTTTCCAGCCCTCCCTGTGGCTTGATGTGAAAGTGTGGCTTAGTTTTTACCAATGGAATATGAGTAGAAATAATATATATAACTTTCATGTCACTTCCATAAAATAGATTTTTTTGGCTGGGCATGGTGGTTCATGCCTGTAATCCCAGCACTTTGGGAAGCTGAAACAGGAGGACTGCTTGAGCCCAGGAGTTCAAGACCAGCCTAAACAACACAGTGAGACTCTGTCTCAATTAAAAAAAATAGATTTGTTTTCCCTCTGTTTCCTTGTTCCCCCTTTCCATGGCTGGGATGCTAACTTGGTATTAGTGCTGTATAGAGATGGGCAACACCTAGAGAAGAGCTCAGCTGCAAAAGAGAAAACCTGGGACCCTGGACAACTCTATAGAACTGAGAAGCCACCTCCTCTGGCTACTGCCTTCTGTCACTGCTCCTGGTGGCCTGCCTTTAACACCTTTCTTTTCCTGTCACCAAAGAATAAACACACACACACACACACACACACCACAAAATAACATTGTAGAATTATGCCTGGGTTAAGAGAATGTAGGCCACAGGTTAGGACATGTGAGAGACTTTTATATGTAAATTGTACAAGCTTTAGTGAATTGATGTTATAAAAATTATATTTGCTTGTTTGGAAACCTTTACTGTTTACATCCTGGTTTCAAATGACTGCAGTTACCTATTAAATATCCTCCAAGGAAGGGAAAGTTCATTGTATTAAGCAAAGGCAAACTGGTTCAACTAACAATTTTCAATTATTTGTGTGCGCTAGGTACCAAAGATGGAAAACACACATGATCTCTGCCCCCAAAAGATGTTATTTGACTGGTGCGAAGAGGTGCCAATATAAAAACAGTGTTGAAATGATTTAGTTAATACTATTGGTTGCACACAATCACACATCTGACACAAACTGGTTTAAGGAGGAAAAAAAAAGATAATTTATAAGTTTATGTAAATATGTGGTCCGAGAGTAAACCTGACTTTAGAGATGTAAGCCCTACTGGATGAGATCTCCACTGATGGGGCCTGGAAATCTGTATTTTTGCCCCATCCTTATTCCCTACCAAGTAATTGTAATTCTGTTTTGGAAAGGACTATTTTTATGGAGATCATTCAAGCTGAGAAATGGATATCACACAGGAAGGAGAGAGACTGCAGGAGGAGACAATTATTCCTGAAGAGATGAGGGAATCCTGAACTCAGGCAGGAGCAGCCCTTAGCACATAATGCACCATGATGTCTGCTTGGTACTTACAACAGGGCTAATGCTGGTGACGGGGAGCTTTGAAGGGTGTCAGCAGAGGACCGTGCCACCTGTCTGGCAGTAAGTCTAAGGATTCACAATCCTTATGATAGTGGCTGTCACTTCCTTCAGTTCACCTAACAACTATTTATTGTGCAACTACAATACCAGGCAGTGAGGACACACAGGTTCACGGGCAAAGAGCCTCTCCTCATGAAGCTTACATTCTAGATAGGAAACAGCAAACAATCAGAAAAACAAGCTCACTACTGACTGTGGTAAGGGGTCTAAAGAGAAAAACCCCTTCACTCTATTGTCCCTAGTGCAGGGTGACACTGCATGGAATAGAGGAAAGGCCTTTCCATTGACATCTTAGTGGAGACCCAAGAGATGGGAATAAAGCAGTAGTCAGAAGGCTGGAGTATGAGACTTCCAAGCAGAGGCAACAGCCAGTGCAAAAGCCCTGCACTGGGAGGGAACCGACTGGGGTGAAGACCCAGGGAGGAGCAAGCATGGCCAGAGCTCAGTGAGAAGGGGAGAGTAGAGTAAGATAAGCTTGCAGAAGCTGGCAGGAGCCAGCCTATGGGAGAGCCGGTAGGCCCTGAAAGTTTGGATTTCATTCCACACACAACAAAGTGTTGGCTTTAAAAGGAATCTCCTGACTACTGTGTGGAGAAAGAATAAAATTAAGTTTGGTGCTAGATAGACCCCAAGATCCCTATCTGGCCCCAATAACCCATGGGAAGCTCCACGGGGTCTCCGGGAGTCCTCTTAGTAATCGTGGCCCCTATATCAAGATGCCCAACAGAATTATCTGCAAAAACAGAAATGTTCTGGATCTGCATACAAGTGGCTCTTGAACTGGAAATGTGGCTAGTGTGACTGCAGACTGGACGTTACATTTTATTCTATTTAGACGAATTGATTTACATTTATGTACCCACATGTGGGGAATGGCTATTGTTCTGGGCAGCACAAGGCAACACCGAGCACCGAATGCCTGAGGATTTCTACTCCAAATCCTGAAGGCGCGCCCTTCCCCGAATGTTGGGAGAGTGCGAGGGTATGCGACCCCTAAACGCAAATCCCCCTCTGTGCATTTAGTCTTGCCAAGATGGAGAGTCTCACAGGGGGGCATTCTGAGCTGCTGCTTGTCACTGGGGACAACCACGTGCACGCGGTGCTGAGGCGCCCCACGCGCGTTCTCAGGGGAGCCAGGCACTGAGAACAAAGGTTTCGGGACCGCTCTTTCAAGAACGCACCAGCCCCGCGAGCTCGCGGTCGCCGGCGCGGTGCAGCCATTGGCGGGAGAGGACTCAGACCGCAGCTCCTCGCCCCGCCTGCTCCGCAGCTGGACCGCGTTTACCTCAGCTACCCTGGCAGTGCAGGTGGGTCGGAGATAGAGCGGACGGAGGCAAACCACCACACGGGATTGAGGGTACGGGGACCCCTCGCCACTCAGTCGCCTCTTTTTCACAGGGATGGGGGCGGGGGTGCCGCAGGCTGTTACCCGCACCGGATCTGCTTCCAAGGCTTGGTTTCGCTTTGCCTGGCGCTTGGCGAGGCCTGGTGCACCGCACCGAGCCGAGCAGGTGGCCGCCGAGGAACGCGGGAGTGGAGGGGTTGGGGGAGGGGTGAGGGCTGGCGCCTTTAACTCTTTGGGAGCCCCTGCCCGCTAGCGCCCGGAGGACGCGTCTCCGGCTCAGGCCCGGTGTCCCCCAGCGCGCGTTGGTCTTGGTTGTCTGGAAGGAGGCCCTGACCTTGCTTTCTCTCCCGTGCCAGGTTTGCACAAGGACCATGGGCGCCGCGCTGGGAATCGGCACGCGGCGGGCTCTCTGGCCCGGCCAGGCCTGCGGCGCCCTCCCGCGCTGGGCACCCTCCGCGTCTGCCCGAGGCTGCCACTCCAAGTCCGACTCGGCGCGCCCAGTGCCCCTGAAGAAGCGTGGATACGATGTCACCAGGAACCCTCATCTCAACAAGGTAATGGGCCCGGGGGCAGGACGGCCCGCGTAGCGATCCCGTGGCTGCCGGAAAATTGCGCCCCGCCCCCTGGACCTGGAAAGGATCCTCCCGGGCGCCCTTCCAGCGGTTTTTCTGTTTTTGCCTTGCAGAGGCTTGTTGTGACTTGATTTGTCTTTCTTGTACCTCATCTCCCCTTCATGCGTGGAGAGAGGCGACCAGTAATGCAGGGAGCCTAATTTCTTCTGCAGTAACACCATAGACCAGGTTTAGATCCTCGCCGTCAGTCTGACCTGGTATCAGCTCTCCCCTTGATGCTTACTAATTTTGTTGATCTTGTGCAGTTCATTTTACCTACGTGAGTCCAGGTTTCCTTATCTGTAAAAGAGATATAATTGTCTTGGGAATGTCGTGAGATCTAAAGAGAAAATGGGGGTAGAGGTCTTAGCACAGTACCTGGTACCCAGTGGGAGAAAAAAGTAAGGTTATGATTATTGTTCTGGGAAAAAGATTAATTTGCGAGCAGGGATGGGAAAGTCTAGACTTATAGAACTTTTCGAGCTTGCAGGAGCATTAGAGATCCTAGTTTAAACCTACCCTTTTACAAAAAAGACAACGGAAAATTGCCCAAGGTCACCAGCTAGTTAGTTCTGGCTCTGCCACTGGAATCCAGATCTCCAGTGCTTTGGTCAAGTTTATCCCACTGCTAGCCCTTTTGTATTAACCTAAGAGCACACACATTTCTTTCTGGGAATTGGGTATAGTATCTTTGGTTCAGAGAACTGGGTGAGAGAAATAGAAGAAAGGGACTGAGATTTAAGTCCTGTCTCCCTCTACCTCCTCAAATTTAACTTACACATCTCATTTAACTTATCTGAGGCTCAACTTTCTCCAGCCTAAAATAGACATTATGATAGACCTGTCATTTCTACCTCATTTGGTTATTGTGACAATCAAAGGAATCACTGAACTTGAAATCATATTTTAAATTTATAAAGTGCTGAATAAATAACAACTACTGCCAAATAATTTTTTTTATAATTGCTCTGACTCTGGATTGTGAAATTCAGGTGAGGCAATCTGTGTGGAAAAGATGTTTTTGAGAAGTAGAAACCACTATATAATATGAAGTATCGTGATTGTTTCCTGCAGAATTAATAGAAGCAGCTAAGGAAAAAAAAAATCAATCTCTTTCTACCACATTGGACTCCTGTTCTTTCCAAAAGAAACATTAAATTGTTTGGACACTACCACTTTTCAAAGTGTTCAAGGTGTTTGTTATGACCTTGAATTACTTTGCTAGTAAGCATTAGAAAGTACAAACTGGCTTAAGCACACAAAAGTCTCCTTTAACTAAAGAATCTAGAGGAAGGGCTGCAGGCAGGGATTGAACCAGAAGCCCAGATGGCCTTGCTCAAGATGCAGATTCTCCCTGGCTGTCTACTCTGTACTCCTCTGCAAGGTCAGCTTCGTCCTCAAGCTCCATTCAGTAAGTCTCTCACCTCGTTATTGCCACAGTTCTCCATTTCCTCTTCTCACACCACATCATCCAAGCATAGAAAGATACTTTTTTCTGGTAACTACTGTGGAAGAGAAAAGATCCTTTCTCTGAAGCCTCAGAAAGCAAATCCCTCTTCTTTAATGACTCTGGTTAGAGTTTCTCTTCCCGTTCCCAAACCAAAACCAATCACCAGTAACTAATGCCAGTCAGAGGCCACCCCTGGAGTTAAAAATAGAGTTTAAGCTAGGGCTACTCAACCACCAAGCTTGGAATGAAGGAATATAGATCCTCACATTAAATATGGATACTGTCATCAGAGGGAGGAGGAATGGATGTGGAAAGCAAAACAATAAATTCTCACTCTGGGCTCCAATCATTGTGACAATAATTGCCTTAAAAGTACTGCCATATTACCAACTAGCACTTATTGCCTTGTGAATAGTTAAGAAAATAAAGGAAAATCTTTAAGCATTTTTTTAAAACCTAGGTTTTGGTCCTGAAATCACTCTTGCCCCTTTCGTTTGCCTCAGATGTAAATTTTTTCTCTCAAGTAGTATAAATAAGGTGTTGATATGGTTTGGCTGTGTCCCCATCCAAATCTCATCTTGAATTGTAATCCCGATAATCCCCACCTGTCGTAGAAGGGACCCTGTGGGAAGTAATTTAATCATGGGGGCCGTTTCCCCCATGCTGTTCTCATGATAATGAGTGAGTTCTTACAAAATCTGACGGTTTTATAAGCGCCTGGCGCATTTGCTCTGCTGGCGCACTCATTCTTTCTCCTGCCGCCTTATGAAGAGATGCCTTCCACCATGATTGTAAGTTTCCCGAGGCCTCCCCAACCATGTGGAACTGTAAGTCAATCAAACCTCGTTTCCTTATAAATTACCCAGTCTTAGGTATTGCTTCATAGCAATACAAGAATAGACTAATACAGGTGTTATCTGTAAATCTAGGGACCTGATCTTTCCATGATGTTAAACAACATCTTTTATACATTACTGAAGTCAGTTGATGCTGGTCCGAGATGAAAAGGGTATCTAGAAAGAGGCTGACAGCCTGTTGGCATCCCCTATTCACTGACCCTTGGGGACAGAAGGGAAGCAACAGAGGGAGTGCTTCCTGGGAGATGCCATGAGTGCCTTTCTCTTCCCACTGGAGTGCCTCCCTCTGACTGCTCTGCTGACCTCCAGTGCTCAGAGAGTCTCCAGGGAAGGCTTGAGACTTGGTACTTTCCATCAGCCATGTGGGAAGATAGTGCTGAGGTTAAATAGAACAATGAGGTTATTACTGAGGAAGCAAACGGGAAGTGCAGTTTTGAAAGGGTCTTCAGTGCCATGCTTAGTGTTCAGGTCTGTGGGTGGATTTTTTTTTTTCTACTAGAATCAGAGTTCTTCCAGTCCAGAGAATGAGTTTCATGCCCCTGTGTTTGGCACGGGGTAGTGCCTGAAAGATCTAGCGAGGACACTGATATAAAAATTAACACTAAATTCTTAGAATGTGTTCGCTAGATTTGCATCCCATTTTGACAGATCAGGAGTGGCATTTAAGTTGCAGCTCTGTGACAGAGGGTGGTCAGGAGATGGAATTCTCTGAGAGAAGTGGTGCTGAGAGAAGAGGTGCTGACCATGGCAAGCATTGCTGTTGTGCATTCACTGGGTTCTGCTACCAGCTCTATCATGCTCTGGCCATGTGATCTGTGATGAATCTTATAAGCTCTGCCCATGTTACACTACTGTGAGGATCGTAGGTGATAGCCCTGGTGTGGTAAATATTAGTGACCATGAGGATAATTTACATAATTAGGGTAGGAAAGCCCCTCAGGGATGATATAGCCTGGAATTGTTCAGACTATGAGTTACAAACTATGAGACATGAAATTCACTTAGTGGATCTACCAGCAATTTTTTTTAAAGGAATGTATTAGAATGAAATAGAAAAATAGCAAATGCATTAAAGTTAATAAAGATGGATACTTTATCAGGTCAGCATGTAAAATGCCTATTTTTACTGTGGATTGTAGTAACAAGTTTTTAAAATTCATTGTTCTCATCCAACACTCTCGTTTTTCAAAGAAAAGACAAGCCAAGGAAGAAGCCAAACAACCTCACAGAGATTATCATTTGTCATAGAATTGGACAGAGGGAGCCTGCCTGCTATATTTGAGTCTACTGAATAGTGATGGCAGTTCGCAACTGTGCGGGCAGATTTAGGCATATACCTGATAGTGACAGAACTGATACTAGATGATTCCAAGCTTCCTCCACGAGTCTAGATTTTCTAAGTGATCTAACTACAGATAAGCTTCTATTTCCTCTTTTAAACTAGTATTCTACCTTTCTTCTAAAATTTATATAATGACCTCTTCTGTTGTCCATGTGGATTGTGGCAACAGAGTTTGGTTATATGACCCATCTTTTACTCACATTAAACAGGCAATTATCAGCCCCATTTCACAGAGGTGGCTTCATAGGAAATTGTCATCCCCATTCTGTAAGTGTAGGAACATGTTGATGAGCCATCAACATATTTCTAGCCTCCATTTACCTATAGTGTCTTTTAGGAAGAGCTGTCCTATTCCCCATTTGTCATACTAGATCTGAGTCCCCTTCCATTTGTCTTATCACTCTTTCCTTCTGGCACTGAGCACACTACTACGTTGACTGGTTGGTTTGTCTTCCACACTAGACCCTGAGCACCATGAGGACAGAGACGCTGTTTTTTCACATGGCATTCTCTCTGTCTGATTTGAAATATTCAATAAACATTCGTTCTTTAAATGATTTTAATCATGCCATGGCCTCTTTTCCTCTCAATTTTATTAATCTTAATGTTACTACTTTACACTTAGCCCAATGTTCTTGCTACCTAAATAAATGCCTACATATGGCCCATTTTGGAGGAAATGCACCTGCTTGACTCTTGTCTTCCCAGACGTCAGGGCTTTTGACTGAAGGGGTGCATTATTTCCCAAAACACACCAGTCTTCCCCCTTTAATCTGTGTGCCAACAGTGATTTTTTTGCCATAAAATTCCACTGATCCTTAACCTGAACCTGCTTCTCTGCAGTTTTTTTGATCACTTGAGCTTAATAGGGAAAGAATGAGTGAAAAATGTGCTTGGTCAAATCACTGTGATTATGGACCAGAACATTTCACATAGTGGGGCCTTAGAGACTGCAAGGCACCATGGGTGATGGCCTTCCCAGGTAGACTTGATGCATTTAGAGCAGTGCAAAGGCTTGATGGCCAGTGCTGCAATGTTGACTGTACATCTGAGACCACATAGGTTTCAGCTGAATCCCTTCTGTATTCAATGATGATTTATTAGACTCCCACACATGTAGGATTTGCCTTTGAATAAGCATATGATTCTGTTCTGTGCTAGCTTAGAACTTGATCTTGTCTCCTTTGGATGAGGGAAGGCTGTTATCATGGACTTGGCTCATCAATCAATCAATCAATCAGGAGATGATGAGTGGGTTGTACGGATAATTAGAAGTTTATTGCTGATGCTGTTT